AAAATATAAAGTAACAAATATAAAATAACTCCCATTCCCAAAAACGTCAAGGAAGGAAGAAGGAGAAGAAGGCAAAGGTGATGTGTCGTTTTAATTGCTAGGGCTGTATTTAAAGATGTCCGAGGCGGGCGAGGGCTGCGGGTCTCGGTGCCCCAGTGTCCTGAACGAGTCGTGCGCCTCCGCGCTGCCGTGCTGGAACGGCACGGCCGCCCTGCGCCCGCCGCTCCTGGTGGACGCCTGGCTGGTGCCGCTGTTCTTCGCGCTGCTCATGGCGGTGGGGCTGGCGGGCAACTCTCTGGTCATCCACGTCATCAGCAAGCACAAGAAGATGAGGACCGCAACAAACTTCTACATAGGTGAGGATATTTCTGCTTTTCTTGTTCAGTGCGCGTATCCAGAAGAACAATTAGCACTGATGTCCGGAAGAGTGGTGGCAAAAATAATATATATATATATGTTGTTAAAGAACGGGAATCTATCCATGTACATTGTTTCGAGAGCCGGCTCAACGAGATGCTCTCCTCCATCACAATGGAGAAGATTCGTTTTTTACAGGACAGGCTCTGTGGAGCGATACCATAGTGTCCAGGGTGCCTTAATATAATGTTTTGAAAAAGACTGTGTTGTACGCATCCCTGATTGTTTTAGATATCCAATCAGTCTGTGATTACTTTGATCATAGATTTCCAATCCTGTCTTATCAACAAGAAAACTATAAAAGTGCATAAACACGCTTGAGCTGCATTTTCTTTGTCTGGCTGTTGTTGTTTTTTTCTGTGTTTTAATAATAATAATTCCGTACACTTATATAGCACTTTTCGGGACACTGCATTTTAAAGCGCTTTATGGGTAACGGGGATCCCCTCCACCACCCCCAATGTGTAGCACCAACTTGGATGATGCAGCAGCAGCAGCCAGAGTGCACCAGTACACTCACCACACACCAGCTCACACCTACTGAGCTCCAGTGGGCTGCCAGTTATGAGCTGCAGTTGGATTTTGTTGCTTTTTAGGTTTTTCTCTGTATTCTTTGTTGTTTCTTAGTTTTTTTGTTGGTCTTGTTAAAATGTTCGACATGCTGTTATCGCGGTCCGGGACAGTCCCGTTCACACAGCTTTCACAGGATTTAATCCGGTAGTTGGTCGGTTGCCAACTGTATAGCAGGCTAGCGCCGAGTCCTTGCCGTGAATGATGCGTGCCTTTTGAATTCCGCGTTCCCCAGCTAACCTGGCCACCACGGACATCATTTTCCTGGTGTGCTGCGTGCCGTTCACCGCCGCGCTATACCCCCTGCCCAGCTGGGTCTTCGGCGAGTTCATGTGCAAGTTCGTCAGCTACATCCAGCAGGTGAGAGCGACTCTTTCTCCGGAGCGTAAGTTTTTTTTTTTTTTTAGGAACAAGTAACAGGTTTATTCCATGCTGGAAAGAAAAGAGAGGAAACACAACGTTTCGGCTGTGAAGCCTTCTTCAGAAGACTCACCTGGTCTTTTCAGCATGGAATAAACCTCTTACTTGTTCCTTTGCAGACTACGCATGCTGACGCACCTGACCTAGCTTGTTTTTTTAGTCCGACTTTGCTTTTTGCGGTGCTGTAGTAACTACATCTCCATCAAGCTGACTTAAAGCGTCGATGGCATTTTCCCTCTGGCGTCAGTCTTTGTGTCTACCGAGACCGTTCCTTGAAACGCCCAAACGTTTTTGCGTCCGAAAGAGCGAGACGGCCGCCCCCTTGTTGATCCGTGTGTGTTTCAGGTATCGGCTCAGGCTACTTGTGTGACCCTGATGGCACTGGGCGTGGATCGCTGGTACGTCACCGTGTTTCCTCTCAGCTCCCTGCGCCGCAGAACGGCGAGGACGGCCGCCACCGTAAGCCTGGGTATCTGGATAGGTGAGCGCCATCCGCATGCCGTGGCCCCGTGGTGGTTTTCAGGTAGTTGAAACGTAGGGGGCGGTACGGTGCTGCAGTGTTTAGCATTGCTCTCTCGCAGGCGTGGGGCCCTGGGTTCATTTCCTGGGGTGCTCTCTGGGTATTCTCTTCGTTCTCCACGTGTTCTTGTGTCCACGTGTACTGTGTGAAGAAGGCTCCACAGCTGAAACGTTGTTTCTTTTCTTCTTTTTTTCAGCATGGAATAAACTTGTACTTGTTGCTTTTCAGCCTATGTGTGCTGACGCAGCTCCCTACTTGAAATCATGCAACTGATGACAGCCCAGGCTGCATGTTGTGTGATAAGCAGAGCACTGATCAGTCAGATAGGGATCCTCTTAGGAAGTGCAGCACAAACAGGAGCATTGCCAATGGTTAGGGACCTCTGGGATGCGGCACTCATGCTCTGACTATGAAGAATGTGGTTTACTGTACATGCAAACGGCACCGCAAAGGAGTAGGAAACTTCGCTGATGAAGGATGAACTGTGGGAGTAATATGTGGGAAGAAGCCCTCAAGAGGGAACAGGCTGAACGCTCCTGGGTTAACTGTTTCTCTCTCGTGTTTTTAAACCAGGTTCTTTCCTGGTGTCGGTGCCAGTGCCTGTGTACAGCAGCATCACGGAGGGAGAGTGGTATGGACCGCAGGTCTACTGCACTGAAAGCTTCCCCACC